TAGGGGTTTAGGGCTTCAGGGTTTAGCGAAATCGAGATCCGAACATTCAGACCCTGAACGTAAAGAGAAGGGGGTTCAGAAAGTTATCAGGCCTCTACTACATTAAAGCTTCAGTTCCTTAACTTAGATAGCCGGTGGGAGAACTTTAAACTTTTTGGCCATATATATTTAGTCTATGAGAGAAAGATTGAACTTTTCTGGGGGCCGTCTATTGAAGCAGAGAGTTAAGTGCAAGCCTAAATCTCAAGCTGTCCAAGACCCAAAAGCCTGTACCTTTTGAAGGTTCCAGGTTGAAGGGTCCAAGGGTCCAAGGGTTAAGGGTTTAGGGGTTTAGGGTTTAGGGTTTAGGGCCAAAGGACCTAGTCATCATGCACTTGGGTTACGGATTTTAGTTTTGTAGGTTAGTATTCAGAAGAGCATATGATTCTTGGGCACTTGGACCCTGAGGGGAAGAAGGGTTTAGGGTTTCGGGGGTTTCGGGGGGTTTGGGTTCAGGGTTTCCCTGGGTGGGGGGTTGTAGCCGTTTTCAGAGAGCCCCCGGGGCCTTTTTGAAGGTCTGTTTCGCCCGTAGGGTTTAGGGTTTAGGGGTTTAGCGTTTAGGGTTTGCTGAGGCTCACTTCATGCAACGCAAACACACTTACGAAGCCAGACCCGTCAAACAGAATCCCCAAAACAAAATCTTTGAAAGCAAGCGCTTTCTTAGCCCACAGCTTGACCGGGAGGGTTTTAGCTTTGACGACGCCGAGCCATGAGAAGCGTCCATATGTCTGCCACATAAGTGGGGCTTCTCGTTCTGATGTTCAGACAACCCTAAACCCTAAACCCTAAACATGGAACCCGGGGAAACCTTTACACTAAACGCTGCATATAACCTGATTTGCCATGCTGCCGAAGCGCCCAGGTGTTCGTTGTCGGCGCCAACATGGGCAACGACACACGGATCCAGGGAGGAAACACGCCGCTTGGCCTTCTTTTCGGGGTCGTTTGGGGGTTTAGGGGTTCAGATTCAAGACCGAATAAACGGGTACGTAGCAACTCCACAGCAATGGTTCTTAGAGCCTAAACCCAATACCTGAATAAGGGCTCCAAAGCAACGGTGCATAGGGACTAGTCGTAGTTCAGGATTTCCTGCAAGAATTTGGATAGGGAGTTCAAGTTCGGGATCATTCTGTTTCGGGTTCCATGGTGTCATGTGTATTTATTGATGTAAGTTCACTCGAATCTCCGATACTTGGGGGTTGTCTGGTCTGATTTCTGGGTCCTTGTGGGATACAGTTTACATGTTTGTTATAATTAAACACCCAATAAGGATTAAAGATGATCATTTTTATATATAGACCCCACAGGGAACCAGGTTTGTGTCCAGAGAGATCAATCCCGAACTGGTCAGGGTTGTCATGGATGCGAATTGTAAATTTTAGCCTTTAGGGTTTAGGGTACATGCTGGTAAAAACAATACATACATCCTTTTTACATGGGTTTCTGTATATGTATAAGTAGAGGGTTTGTGTGTGTGTGTGTGGGGGTGCTTGCTGCCTTGCTTGGGTTCTCCGATGCGTGCCGGATGTAGAAGCCATAAAGTTGGAACATCATCATCTTCATGATCTTAAGGTAAAGTACAAGGGATCCTAGCACAATTCGTCATATATCCATTTTCCAACTTTCTGCGGTTGACTATGAAGTGGTTCGAGTGGTTGGGAGAGGTGATACACATTGTCGTCCCTCGGTCCCACATCGGAGATACCAGAAAACTCTAAGCCCTAAAGCCTGAGCAGCCTTGAGAATTAGAATAGGGTTTTTGCGTGTATACTATACTATACCATGGTTTTTCTGAGGAACCACTTGAAAAGAATGGTATGGGTATTTATGTAGGCACCTCTGATAAAACTTGGATACCAAAGCGCCAAACCCGAAACTCTAAACCCTAAGCCCCACACAGGGAATCCCAGAAAGTTGGAAAGTTTTAAGGTTTAGGGTTTCGGGTTTTAGGGTTTAGGGTTCAGGGAATCCCAGAAAGTTGGAACATGGGTTTAGGATGATTCGTGCTAGGATCCCTTATACTTTGCCTTAAGGGCATGAGGATGATCATGTTCCAACTTCCCTAAAGCCTATACCGTCTGGGGCGAGTCTCTGCTGCGGAGTGAAAGAGGGGCTGTTACACTGTAAAAGAGATCCATTAGGGGTTCGACAAGGTGTGGGCTCAGAGGTTTGGGGGGTTTCAGGTTCAGATGTGTTTGGGGCTTAGGTTGGTTTTGGGCTCAATCTAGGGGCCTTCATGGTTAGAATAGGGTTTGGGGGTGTAGTGTACGTGGTTTCTAAGAAGGGAACCCCCAAGACCATATTCTAACTACTAAGGCCCCTACATCGGGTTGGTTTTGGGCGTTTAGGTTTGAGAGGTGTGGGTTTATATGGGGGTTTCCGAAAACAGGGGACCCTAATATAGCACCCTAAATAGTAGGATCCTCAATATAAGGACCCCCAAAATGAGGTACCCCTTATTTTCGGAAAAACTCCCATCTGTACATATTGTTGTTAGAGGGCTCTGGGATTTGATCTTAAGAGTTTTGGGCACAATGAAAGCCCCGTGACAGGTGCTATATTGATCTGAGATTTGGTTTAGGGTTCAGGGTTAAATTTTGAGTCCGCGAACCACAGCTCCTGAACCAATGCTTTTGAACGCAGCGTCTGGGTTCTTAACAGAGTTGACAGTCTATAAATACATTAGATGTAATTGTAGGCAGGAACTTACGAAGATACACTTGCAAGGAAAGCGGCTAAACCCTAAACCCTTCTACAACCGTAGCCAAGGAAGGTGTTCGGCTTGGACACAAACACAGGACAGCATGGATGAGCAGGGTTGAGGGAGTTCGGTTTAGTTTATGGTTTTAGGATCTAGGGTGTGTTTAGTTCTTGCTTGCTTGCTTGTTGTCTTCTGGTGTTGAAGGGTTTGAGATTGGGAATTTTATGCCTTAGGGCTCTGTTGGGAATTCAAGAAGCGTTGAACGGTTTCATACGGGTTTCGAAAGTTTTTGCGCGGGTTTGATAGGGTGTGTCGAAGGGCATCTTGCCTGCAGAAGCCGCCAATCCTGAACGCCTACATCCCTACTCCCTAAACCCCGAACCCCAAACCCAAACCCTGAACCTTCAATAACCCTAAGCCCTGAATAACCCTAAACCCTGAACCCTAAACGCCAAACCCTGAACCCGAAACCCGAATCCCTAAACGAACCTAAACCCCGCACCCCAAACCCTAACCTGGAATCTCTAGATTCGAGCCACATGGGAGGGGAGTTGGTCTGTCAAAGACCCAAGGGACATCGAAGTACAACCGTGGCCGTGGTTAAGGCTCGCAATGCGGGCGATCCGGTCATACTTACCCACACGATTTGTAAACGCCTGATCTTAAACCCGGGGTAGGGCCCTTAACCATATCCTGCAAACTTGTACAACTGAACGTCAAAACATGTGGGACGCGAGAGCCTGTAAATCCTCTTTGCTCAATCGTCGGCCAACGTGCCTGGAGGACTCAGAGGGCGTGTCTTTTCTAAATCCCTGAACCCTTAAGCCCTAAACCCTAAACCCTAAACCCTAAACCCTAATCCCTAATCCCTAATCCCTAAACCCCAACCCCTAAACCCTCTACTGCGGGCTGCATGTAATGTACGGGCCTTCGTAATTCGAATAGGGTTTTGGGGCCCATTATACAATATTTATAATAAGGAACCCCAAAAATACTGTTGGTAATTATTTCGGCCCCTATAGTAGTATAGGAGTGCCTTGATACTTGCTCCTATGGCTCCTTTCTACGATTAAAGGACCCCAGAATTCTGTTCTTGCTACCAAACCCTAAACCCTAAAGCCTTGCTCTTAGAGCTGATCTGTTTGGTTCTGTGGTGTGCGGATCGCATTGGGGCCCAACAAGGTGTCATAAGGTTCTTGTGGTGTATTAGGGTTTAGGGTTTAGGGTTATGTGGTGTGTTTGTTAAACACATTTTGTGTTTTAAACTTTTCACCTGTAGTAAGAAGCCCTTAGAAACCCCACTTTGTACTATGCAGGTGCTTAGGACCCCCGTAGGAAGTGTGCCTTACATGTTAGGCCCGCCAGTCTCAGTATGGTTAGGGGCTTAGTGTTTTGAGGGTTCCTGAATATGATGACAGTATAGTATACCCCCTGAACCATAAACCCTGCCTGGAGACCTATCCCCAACATTAAGGCCCGACACTCTCTGCTGCAGGGAAGCAGCTTTGGGAGTACGATCCCGACCATGTCGTTTGGAATCTGTCGCCTTTGCACCATGGCTCTGGTTTAGGGTTTAGGGGAGTTAGGCAATGTAGGGGCCTAAAGAAGTACCAGTAATCACCAATACTATTTTGGGGGCTCCTTACTTTAATTATTGTATATCGGGCCCAAAAAACCCTGTTCGAATTACTGAGGCACCTATATTAGGTACAGTTTCCTGGTTGCAGTTGGGCTTAGGGTTGCCATGTGTGTGTTGGGGTTTAGACTTTTGGGTTGTGGGAAGGTTTGGGATGGTTTAGGATGAGGGGTTTAGGGTTTATCTTTTAGGGCCGTTGGGGTTGTCGCTTAGGTTTGTCGCTGTCGGCTTCCCGGCGTTTGGGATTGCAGTTTCGGATGCTCAGCCAAAGCCCGAATCCCCATCTGACCCAAAACCTTCCACCAAGCTTGCGGGATTTGGCCCAAACCCCTAAACCCTAAAACCCTAAAACACTAAAGCCTTAGAACCCTAAACCCTAAACC